CTACCAATTCCCAACATATTGAGATAAGTTTCTTGACAAAGAGGTGTATTGTGATCCCAATGATAGAAAGTTCTTTTATTAGATCTGGTTTTCTTTTTAAGGCGTCTACTACTGCTTATTGACCCACCATCCATTGCCTTAAGTTGGGCCATTAAAAATATGTCTTGTTCTACTTTAGAAAGGGCTTGAAATGATTCTCTTAATTCTGCAAATTGTCCCCTGGGAATTCTTGAAGAACAACCACAATTACATCCTTTTTCTAAAAAATCAATTGCTTTTTGATATTCATTAGAACCATTATGATTATTATTTTCATTATTACCTTTCATATACACCTATCCCTATATATATAATTTTATAATTTTATGTTCACTTTGTAAGTTTTTTTATAATTGGTTTAAAATTGAAGTATATGAATGGAATTAATCTTAGATGAATCAGTGGAATAGGTTTAAGGATACGGTCTCACACGTGACCATTAATTAGTAAATCTGATTCCAAAATTTTTGTCATACCGGTAACAAAATAAGTTTCCGAAACACAATTTTAGCCAATAAAATTTCTTTATTTATAATAACAATCAAAATGTACGTTGCAAATATAAAAATTAAATTTTTTTCAAAATGAAAGTTTGGTGGTTGCTAGATGAAACTTCCATAAATCTGATTTACAGACAGAATCACTAAAGCTATCTCTTTATATAAGTAATTTCAATCATTAATGGAAAAATAATTTTTTAATATTTTAATTTTTTTGATCCTTTGATATGGATAATCAATCTAATTTTTCTTTATCTCACCATGTATCCAACCAATTGGGGTGCAATAACTTGGATTAGCACTTATTTGAACTCTAGATTATGTAAAAATGAAAACGCCATATGAGTATTTAATGCCTTTAAAAAATTTTTAATAATATTAAATTATTAAACATCTTTACATTATTATATTTCAGTATGTATCCAATGAATTAAATGAAATAATTTGTATTAGTACTTATTTGAATTCTAGATTATGTAAAAATGAAAATATTTTAATAGATTTTTCAAAAATATAAGGCTTCACCTACTATATATCTTTGTAGCTTACTGAATAATAAATTCTTTATCTAATATACCTCAAATATTATTAATAACTATAAATATTTTATTTACATGCAATATTAATCTACTTGGCAATTCCTTTCTTCAAATTCTATTCTATTCAAGTAAAAATTGAAAGTATTAAATGTGTTGAATTAATAAAATTCTATTTCACCTATTAACAAGATAAAATACTTTGAAATCATTTTACTTGTTTAGTTTTTTTTCTTAAATGATCAGACTTTTATAAGTGATGAGAGACTTTTATTAAGTGATGAGAAACTATTTTTGAGTTTTTCTACAAAACCTATATAATAATATAATTTGAAATTTTTATGGAAATTTAACGTGACTATGATTGACAAATAGATGCGTTTTGAGCAAATTTGAGTAAATTCTTAAAAAGTTTTACATATAGATACATGAAAACAAATTGATCGACATTTTTTTGGAACCGGATTTACTAATTAATGGTCACGTGTGAGACCGTATCCTTAAGTAAATGATTTAAAAAATATGGTTATTCAATAATTTACAAAGAGAAATTGAAAATTTTGGTCAATTGGCCCCATGAAAAATAATTATGTGCAAAAATTTCATGTTTCTGATTTTTTTATTAATAATAATATTAATAAAGATTTACACTTATCAAAAAAGATTTTACAATATTAAAAATCATTATTATAAAAAATGGATGCCATTTAAATTGACTACCACCTGTGTGATTGATTCAATCATTAACACTAAGAAACAAACAATTTCAGAACCATTGAAATTAATGCCATTACAAAGGTGAAATAAAATAATAATTTTTTAAATATAATTAATTATATAAATAAAAATAAACATGACTTAGCTATTTAATCATTTCCTTGTATGTGAATGCCTCCATCCATCAAATATTCATGATGGCCATGATTATTCAATACATTTGATATAATCATTGGAATAACAAACAATTGCATCACCCAAGTAGTAATAACACCAAGGCCATGCATAAATGAAACTTTTAATAATATGTGTCTACCCAGATCTCTGGGGTTCACAAGAATAAATAAATAAATAGGGAGGATCAAAAAAATATTATAGTCCCTTAAAATGAATAATAAATCTGATGTTGATCACATGTATCAGATTTAATTAAATTTTCCCATCACAAACATGTCAACAGGTGCTTTCACACGCCTCATGACTGTAGAATTTTTCCACAGGTAAGGTGAAAACATGCTGGAAGGCTTTGGACAAAACTTTCCACATCTTCCCCACAGACCAGGCTTGGCTGTTACTATATGAGCATTGATTGCTGACAAGAATTGGCACTGTGTGATAATTGCTTTATATTACCCCTCTCTAGAATAAAGTTGAAGTCTGCAACTGGTATGAAAATTCTGCAACTTGGGTTGTTGTTTTAGATTTTCCCTGAATCCAGAGTTTTGAGTCCTGGGTTGCTGTCTTGTTGGTGGCATGCCTACTTACCAACAACCCTACCCCATTTAAATAACAAGTTCAGTTGGTCAAATAAAAATTAAAGAAACAGAACATTTGGGAAAATGATTAATTTATACATACATATCAAACAAAACCTGAACCATTTTATGATTTTTCTCTTGTTGACCATGTTGCGGACAAAGATGTATATAAACATGCAATAATTTTAATCTATAGGACAGGGGACTGATTGGGCAAAAACCCATTCAGCCCCCTACCCAAAATTATAAAATTGGTAAGTATCAAAGAAACAGAGAATTTAGGAAAATAATTATACAAAACAAACCCTCTTAACATCAAAGCCCAAATGCAATTTCAGGGTCACCAACCCTGTTCTGAATTATGACCTCCTGTGCTTGAAACAAGTTATTGCTTCAATAGACCTATATGTTTACATAGCACTACAATTCATCAACAGAGTTGTGACCTTGTCGCAGATCCATCATTAGAGGTAGGATCGTTGCAGACAGCTTTTCATCTAACATGGCAGCAGCCTTCTCTGGTCTGGGAAGATTAGTGAAAAGTGTCATTGATGATTGATGCAGTCTCGGTGAACTCCAGGGCCATGCTACCACCCCCCTGGAATTCAGTTGCATCATTGTATCATCGGGGGGCGCAAGTCAGATTAGCCTTGTGCAGACGACGAGGAAAATGAGAGAATGGCTATAAGTGTTCAAGGTAGTGTGCGTGCTTCAACGCCTGCTATTTTCCTGTAATCAAACTTCGCATACTCAGAATGTTTCTTTTTCAACGGTGTGCTGCCTTGACATCTTCTTGTGATTATAATATTTATAATAGTATTATTAATTATGCAAAGCAAAATATTATCAATGAAAATCTTGTAATTACCCAGCAATGATCTGCTCAGTGTCTTGATTCCATTTAAAATATTTATAAACCAAAAGAGACAATACAAATAAAAATAGTACCTCTGGTTAGTTATTAACACGTCTTCTTTAGGAGACCCAAGCCAAACCAAGCCAAAAAACAACACATGTTTTGTCACCTTGGACTCTGTCAAAAAAAAAAAAAAACCAATTCGCGTCTGTCCTACCAAAAAAAAAACCAATAGTAATAGGATAAATAATTAGATGTGTTTGTTTTTGTTGATCAAATAATCTTTTTTTTAAATTTCTTATTTATAGAAACATGTTGAGAGTTAAAAATTTAAGGAAAAGAAGCAACAATAAAGGAATTGCTGATGATCGTGGGTAAGTGTTTTAAGGATGATGGTGGTGGTTATTGCTCACCACTCGCCGTCACTCTAGTTATTTAAAAGAATGGTAATGGTGGTTATGTCCATTCATCATTAACTCTAGTTAATAAATAACAAATAACCATATTAATAGTTTGTTAAATTTAAGTCAACTAATTAAAATTTTGATCTTTTATGTTTATTTATTTCTTTAGAGGACCACTTAGACCGTCAAATAAAGTATGTAATATGTAATCATATGGGTAGGATTGGCTATTTTGTTTTTATAATGATTTTGTTATTAATCCAATCTCCAACTACAGGAAAACGAATTGATAAGAAGATGAAATATTTAAATTAAAAAAACGAATTACAGAGCTAGAAAAAGGTAGAGATCTCATGATGAAAATGTTAGGTTATGCGTTGGAGTTTGATTAAAGATAGGAATCGACTATAATTGGTATACTTACAACAACTATAATTAACTTGTTTCTTTTTGGTTTCCTTCTCTATGTTATATAACTACTAATTTTGTAATTCTTGGAGTTATTTCGACTGAATCATCAAGTATTTTCTTTTCCTCATATAATTCTGAAAATCATAATTTGATTAGATGTTCACTCTTATGCTAACATTCATGTTTATTTTTATCCCTTTTTTTTTTATAGAAAAGAGGAAGGTAGAAAATAATGAATTGGAACGTCACATCGAATTTCTTAAGAAATTGCCAGTTTCAAGCGACCTTGGAAAGAATGGAAAGTGGATGTCGTATGCAACACAACCTGACAACATTGTGCATAATTATCGTCCTTACGATAATCACAATCTCCCGTTAGCAATCCTTCATCCTGTTTTCCCCAAATTTATGATAGATGTAGAAAATATTACAATTCTACCAAAAGAGGAAGAAAGCGTCTATAGGATGACAAAGACCATGTGTGGAAAATTTAAAATTGAGGACAATAGGACTGAATATTTTAGTAATTGGTCAGAGGAGTTCTTCCGTAGAAAGGCAAAGTTATCCCGTCGCTTCGAAGAAGATCCAGATATTTCATTCGTTAAAGTTATAGAAAATAATATATATCTTGCGATTATAGAATTCAAAAACGAAATTGGAGCGGGTGGAGATCCATATATTCAAGCATGCGGATACTATTCAAAGTATATTTTAAAAAAAATTGAAAAGGGAAAAAAACATCCTAACACTTGTCTTCCTACCTTTCTATTATACATAATGGGACCGATGATAGGGATTGCTGGTGCAGTCTATTCACGCGAAATCGTAATTTCTCCTTTAGTTAGTACTTCTCTGATAATACCAAAGGAACTACAGTCAAACTTACTGACAAAAATCACCAGAATATTTTGTGCATTAAAAGCAGGATTGGATAGTATTGACAAATTTCATGTAAATTTGTCACCAGAGATGCTGGATAATTCATTATATTGTGAACAGGTGATATTTCCTTATATTCAACAGTATGTTTCTCGGGACAAAAATCTAATAAAATTTGTATATGTGGAACAATTATTATTATTGCAAAATCAACTTGTATTTCGCATAAAGAGATTGCCAGAAGGAACTAATTGTATCATAAAATTTGTGAAAACATACGGGGATGATGTGCATGAACTTTGCTATACAAACGGGTTCGCACCAGAATTATTTGCCATAAACACAATTAATTTATCAGAATATAAATTAGTGGTTATGGAAGACCTTGAAGAACAGGGGTACAAATGCGTAAGAGAAATATGGCGTTTGCTCTCCTTAGATGACAGAGAGACTTTAAAATCAAAGATTAACCGTGCAATCAAGAATATCCATTCTGCTAAATATGTACATGGTGATATGAGAATTGATAATATAATGGCAAAAATGTATAAAACAGAATGGTCAATTAAAATAGTTAACTTTGATTGGGCAGGAACTTTAAATGAAGCAAAGTACCCGTTATCAATTCTCGATGAAAAATACACAGAATACCATGAAGATGCGCATTATGGTAGTCACATTAAACATGAACATGACTTACACCTCATTGAAAAGTCATATATTCGTTAATATTTTGTATAATTTTTAATAATTTTTTCAAAAATTTTTATATATAAATAAAATTCTTATCTAATAATGAATAAATTTTTTTTGTTTTTAATATTGAAAATGATGTATTATCATTGGTATTTGCACTATTTAAAAAAAAATTTAAAATTTCTTATATGTAAACTAGAGTAGCGCGAGTAACAGGTTAATCTCAATAATCACCACCACCTTTTTTAATGTGTAATTCTTTTATTTTAAAGTGATTTTTTTTATCGATAAATGGATGTATAAATAATAATAAATAACTATATTAAAAAAAATTAATTCTTTTTTTCTGGTGAGTTGACAGTTATTATTTATTTTATCATATAATCAAGTCATGAATACATTTTATTTCATTAAACATTGTTGATATTGATGTTGTTGGATTTATTTTTATATAACATTCCTTTTTTTTTATTTTATTTGTTATGTGGTCATTTGTTACTGGTTTTTCATGTTTCTATATTACAATATGAATTTTGAGATGAATAAGTTGTAGAGAATTTTTAGGTAGTTGAAATTAATTTAAATCATTTTTGATATCGAATATATATAAAATTACCCTTAGAATATTCTTTTCTACACCGAAGATATGACCTTTCGCAATTTCTGCTTGCATACTTATTGGATAGGAATGGAGAGCAGGATTTTTACTTTCGATAATCTAAAATTTAATTTCATCTGTAACCAACTTCTAGATATTCATAAATTACACCTTCCATTAACTTATTATTATCAACAATGATGAAAGAATTGTGAGCGTTATTATTAAAAGCATTTAAATAATATTAAAATAGTATTTTTGTTATTATCATTAATGTTTTTCTACTCCCACAATGGCATTAGCTTCGCATCATGAAAAATTTTCCTGACGTAATATTTATGTAACGTTACGGGGTCCAGCCTAAGTCTACGTCCTGTAATGTTGCGTCCCAAAAAAATTTTAGATGTTATCGTGCTTGCAATAGTTTGTTTATTGTAAATCTTACAAACACAAATATTATGTCGGAAAAAATTTCCTGATGTTAATAATTCCGAACCTATTTCGTTCCTTTAGTGTTAATGATTGAATCAAATCACACAAATGGATTTCAAATTAAACACCATTTCTTTAAAGTTTATTAAAAATAATAGTATTTTTTTAATTAATTAAAATTTTTTTTTGATAAATCTACCTCAGTCTAAAATCAATCATATTTATATATTTTAAATTTTTTCTTTACTTCTTTTTTTTAATAAAAAATAAATTTTTAAAACATTTGCTTATTTGTTTTATTTAGTAGATTTTATTCGACCAAATGATACACTACAGCAAAAAAAAAATTTCTCAGACTTTTATTAAAAAATCAAGAAACACGAAATTTCTTGTATACGTAATCTGTTTTAGTACATTCAATAAATCTCAGTTTCTCAAGATAATTTTTGTAATTTCATCTTATCAATCTTTGGTAATAATCAATAATTCTCTCTAAAAATAATTAGTATATATCTGTTTGTCTGTTTAGTACGTTCAATAAATATCAAGTCTCAATGATCTATTTTTTTTAGAAATAAATAATAAATTTGTTCCTATTATTTTCCTTCTAGAGATCTTTGCTTTTTGTTGTGCAATAATGCATCATCATGATGCTTTCTTTTTCCAACATTTATTGTTTTTCTTTCCTCTTGGTAAATTTCATAGGTAATCCTTTCTTTTTTTAGATAAGTTTCCAATGTCTGAGTATCATTTATTTTGAAAATATAAGGTGCAATTTTTTCCCCTTGTTCCTTCTTCAAAATACTTCTGATAGTACTATAATTCTTGGGTTCCATAGTAGATCTGATGTAAATTAGTTTCATATTAACTATTTTTATATAGAGGTAATTCTATATATCACTTAATATTAAGATAGCAAATGGGAAATTTTAATAATCACATTATACTAGATTTTGATCCCTGAAATTCTTGGTAATACCAATGTTCACTTTGTCTGGTTTTGTTGCAGTATGCCCCATATATAATTTTATAATTTCATGTTCACTTTGTAGGTTTTTTATGAATAAGCAAATAGTTACCTTCAAAAATTTATATCTCTATTTTGTTATCTAATGATTTTTTTAACATAAAGGCTATTTTGAGTATGGGTTAACAGAATTTGGATATACAGAAACTTTATCTATTTTAGTTATAATAGGGAATATGGCAATTAACATAAATAAATTCTATTACATTTATTTATTTTCAATTAATAATAATTTCTTCAATGCAAATGTAAAAATACATAATAAAATTTTTTTAATCATTGAGGAGTAATAAAGCCTTCATCTAATAAATGTATGTCATGTGATTTTCTAATTAAATTTCCAGGTTTCACTTCATTGTGCCATTTGATCTTTGGATTCATGGTCACATATGGATATCTAATTTTTCCTTCTGGACCTGCCCATTCAAAATCTATAATTTTTATAACCCATCTATCCTCTACTTTTTTAGCAAGTATATTATTTAGTCAAAAATCTCCATGAACAAAGTTTTTGTCATGTAATAATCCTACAGCAACTTTTATAGAATTTTTTATCTCCTTCAAATCTTCTTTTTTTACTTTTGAAAACAATGAATTTATAGTCTCATATCCATCAAGATATTCCATTACAATAAATTTATACCCAGAATTTATGTCTGAATAATGAATGATTTTTGGTGCTATTTGATGTTCAGCACAGAAACTGTGTGCATCATAACCATAAGTTCCAGAAAACTTGACTATGTGTTTTGTATCGTCATTCTTTTCTACAAGATACACCAGACTTTGTAAAATGTCAACACAACGTTTTTTGTATTGAAAAGATACCACTAAAGAATCCTTTGTGTATGACCTTATCCACGGAAACCTTCCCACGTTTCTATCAATCTTTTTTTCTGGAACTAATAAACATTCACTATAGTATTTTTCCAAAGTTTTAATCGCCTCATGTAAAGAACAAAATATTCTTGTCAGTTGATTTATCCATGATTCAAAAAAATCAGGTCTGACTATAAGATTTTCTGCTATTAAAGGACATATTGTAACTCTTTCCCCAAATACAGCACCTGCAATCTCAAATCATGTGCCATGCAAACAAACTAGAAAACATGGCAAGCAAGTGTTCAGGATAAGGTCTTCATCATCTTCAGCATGTTGAACCACATATTCTTGGTAGTATGTGCTGATTTGCACATATGGATCAACCTTCGAAGATTCGTTTTTGTATTCAAATCCTACCAACAAGGCATCCTTTTCTGATTTTGAGTATTCTAACTTTACTAATGCATCAAATCTAACTTCTTCATTACAATTCCTCTTCTTCCTATCTTTTCCATCTATATTATACCCCAAAAAATTGTTAAGTTTATTTTCAAATTCTTTTTCCCTGTCATTTTCTGAATCATAAGTATCTCCCATTGCACATGCTAACTTGAAAATTTTTTCTTTTCTTTCATCATCAAATGATGTTGATTCACAATCAAGCATGAACTTTTCAAAAACAGGGTGACATAGTGTCAATGGAATATCAAATTTTCCAGTTGGGCGGCAAATATAAAAAGGAGGATCATTGTCACTCAACAAGGATTCCCATTTACCTTTTTCTGCAAATTTTGATGCACTTGGTCGTTTTTTTTTGCTTATTTTTATTAATTTGTTAATTGGGCCTATTATGAAGGAAAATATTTGATAAATTTATTTTGTTTCACATTATCAAACTTTATGAGGAATATTAAATCATTTTACTTTACCTTCTTCTACTTCTGTTTCTTCCTCAAATTTACGTTTGACTTTTCCTACTACGATTCAGTGCAATTTGCAAGGAAGAAACAAGTTAGTCAGCATTGTAAACAATATATCAAATAAATAAATAAACGAAATGGAAAATAATTTTTTGTATATTTTTTTACGCAATTTATTCATTACCTTCTCCTTTCTTGCTAAATTCAACTAGTGCATTTTGTAAAATCTTCATCTGTTCCTTCCAGTCATTTTTATTCTCTTTCAACTCTTGTTTTTCCTTTTTCAATTCGTCCCTTTGCCTTTCCCAACTATTCTTTTGATCTTCATTCCTCCAAATTCTGTCATCCAACTTACCCTCCAATTCCCATATCTTCTTCTCTTTCCACCCCTCCTCGAACTGCTCCAACTTCTTCAACGCCTTCTCATAATCCACCCTTGTCTTGTTTAATTCTTTACCAATTTCACTATTTCTTAAAAAAGATTTGTAAGATTAATTATTTTTTAATTCGCAGATCATTTATCAACAGGGGATTTTAATAGAAAATGTTAGGGGGCACATTTACTAATTTAAAAAAAATATTGACTGTTTGTAAAATGATTATACAACATATAAAATTATATTTCACTAAATTTTATTAATTGTATTTTATTATACACAAAGAAAGCTATGTATGTAGTCAATATTGAGAAGGTTTTTTTTGGTATTTTATATATAAAACTAGAGTGACGGCAAGTGGAGACAATCAACATTCTTATGATAAACACTTACTCATTTCTTTCGTTTGGGTCCGTATTCTCTTTATTTCTTTTTTTTTGTTGTTTTCTGTCGTCTGGCATTGTTTTTTTTAAAATTAAAATTAAAAAAAATTTGTTGATCGATCAACAACGCGTACACATTATTTATGGTTTTTTTTTGTTGATTTTTTTTTTTTTTTTTTTTTTACAATTTATTTTTTAACGTGACGCGTTAACAACTAACCAGATATACTTTTTTTTAATTAATTGATGTCTTTTATTTTATATAATGTATATTATTGAAATCAAAACGCGGAGCAGATCTCGCTGGGTGATTATAAGATCCTCATCAAGATGGTAAACAATTGGTATTTTGCTTTTGTAATCAATATTATTATTATTATTATTATAATATATAATTACAAGATGTCAAGGCAGCATTGACTGTTGAAAATGGAACATTTCAAATATGAAAACATTTCGATATGTAACTTTTGAATATTGGAAATTTACAGATGTTGAAGCACGCACGCTACCTTGAACACTTTACAGTCATTCTCATCTTCCTTATGTATAAAGGCTAATCTGACCACGGTGCTCCCGATGATACAATGATGCAACAGAATTCCAGGGGGGGGCAAGGCTTTGGAGTTTACCGAGATTGCATCATCGTCAAGGACGTTTTCATTAATCTTCCCTCACAGCACCCAGACCAGAGAAGGCTGCTTGCATGTTAGCTGAAAAGTTTCCTGCAACGATTCTACCTCTAGGGTAAGGATGGATCTATGTCCAAGAAGTCGCAACTCTGGAGGAACATTAAGAGAATCAGCAACTCGTTTCAAGCACAGGAGGTTGCAATTCAGGGTGGGTTGGTGACCCTGAAATTGCATTTGGGCTCTGATGTTAAGAGGAATGTCGTAAAATAGTGTTTCTTTTGTATAATTATTTTCCTAAATTCTCTGTTTCTTTGATACCAACCAATTTATAATTTTGGGTAGGGGGATTTTCCCCTGTCCTATAGATTAAAATTGTAACATGATTATATATATCTTTGTCAGTAATATGGCCAACAAGGAAAAAGTTATAAAATATTTCGGATTTTGGTATGTTCCATATAAATTAATCATTTCTGTTTCTTTAATTTTTATTTGACCAACTGAACTTGTTATTTAAATGGGGGTAGGGTTGTTGGTGAGTAGGTGCGCCACCAACAAGACAACAACCCAGGACTCAAAACTCTGAATTCAGGGAAAATCCAAAACAGCAACTTCCCAAGTTGCTGAATTTTCAAACCAATTGCAGACACCAACTTTATTCTAGAGAGGTATAACACAAAGCAATCATCACACAAATGCCGATCCTCATCAGTGATCAATGCCCATATGGAAACAGCAAGCCTGGTCTGAGGGGAAGATAAGAGAAGTTTTGTCCAAAGCCCTCCAACTTGTTCAGGGTGGCTTTCACCTGTGGGAAAAAATTCCATGGTGCTGAATTGTGCTTAATTGCACAACGCTGCATGTTTGTGATAGGAAATTTTTATTAAATCTGACACTGTGATCAACATCAGATTTATTATTCATAAGGAACTATAATTGATAATCAGGAAAATAATTTATTCTTGTGAACCCCAGAGATCTGGGTATACATGCATTATTAAAAGTTTCATTTATGCATGGCCTTGGTATTATTACTACCTGAGTGATGCAATTGTTTGTTATGTCAATGATGATATCAAATGTATTGAATAGATGACGGATACCCGCGGATCGCATCACTAGTCCTGCACTATATTAGAGACGTAGTGGATATGACATAATTATTGATTTGATAGTGTGATGGCTCCCCTCTCCCCACATCGGTCACACAATTTACAAAAAATTTTCTTATAGATTCATTGAAACAAGGTTTGAACACTACTAAAGCTCGAACGGGTCAGGTTCGGGTTGATTTCGGGCCAATAAGAAAATTTTATGATTTACATAAATTTAGGTAAGTTTTATTCACCTAAATTTTATTAATTTAAATATAAAAGGCGAAATAACTATATTGGTTTTAAAAGGTGATGCAAGGGATGTAAGTGTGAAAGGAAGACGTTCCTACCATTTAATTGCTTAGGAAGTATAAAAATCAAAAGTCATGGTATCCATTTGATCTAAATATAAACATGAAAATTTATGTTGTAAAACTGTTGCTAAATATTGGGGTACCTTCAACAATCCGTAAACTTGATTTCTTAAAAACACCTGAATATCCTTGAGAACTAGAAATTGATATTCCCTATTACCACCATGGTTTTGCAAGGGATCCCAACACAAAAAATATATAGAATTCTTTTATAGTGAAGATTCAATTGATTTCGTCAGATAGCAAACGTGAGATCTACCCAAGAAAGAATTATGCGAAGAGAATTGGATTTCCTAAGGAATGTTTGGTATTATGAGGATTAGTGTTGGTCGCCAAAACTATTTTGAAGAGATGAAAGTCAAAACTAAAATCAAAAGTTATATATCAAATCTAAATCAAAAGTCAATAGTCAAAAATCAAAACTAGTTTCGACTTCTGGTGAAACCTTTTGACTTTCGCACGGTTGCGAAACTTTCTAGTTTTGGAAACCAACACTAATGAAGATCCGCATATAATAATTCCAGAGTATCTTCGAGAATTGGGTCTCGTTGAATAAATTAAAACTTTAAATGCTCCATGATCATTATACTCGGATGCATTAATTTTTTGATCCCACACCCACACCACACTGCATATACGCGTACATAGTTAAAAAAGATGCTATAATTTGGCTAGAAGTGTATCAATATTTAATTTAATTTTTTTTTACATTTGGAGAAACTTAGTCTTTATGAAGAATTTATGAATTTGGCTGTAAAACAATCCTCATTTCGAAAAAGACTATCAATAAAAATAAATTCAAACGGAAAATGTACTTTTTATTGGTGTAAATTAAAAAATAATTTACAAAATGTTGGTAATATATGATTCTCTGTACAAATGGATGAAGCAAAAATTTAAAAATCATGTGACTGCCGGACATGTTTTACGTAGGATTTTTCTTCTTGAGCAAAAAATCTATCCTCTAAAATAAGAACACCATATATATTTTCCACCAGAACCCTCGGATAAATCCTGATTTATTCTTGTCCATGAAACACCTTTCTTTCATAACTTTCCTTACTTTCACTGACACAAAAATCGATTTCTATGATAGGGTTTAGCTCATTTTCCCCCTTATTCCAAACCATATAAATGAATTTGCCTCCCGCACCTTCGCTCAAGTCATGGTAATTCCAGAATTCCCAACCGACTGGTTTTTCTATTTGTTTATCTGAGAAAGCGAGAAACCGTAAGGAAGTTACCGCATTTTTATGATTTTCAGAGATGATTCTCTCACGTTTACGTCCGACATATATGAATTTTCCGCCATGACTTTCGTTAAGATCTTGCAGGTGCATTTCATACCCATTGAAGTGATCAGGGCAATCTTTATTATTAGAGGTGTAAACTATGAAATCAGTAATCCATGTTGTCATTTTGTCAACTAGGAAAAAATACCAAGTGCTTGTCTGTATATATGAAAATTTATTTTGTTGCACAGATCTGTTGGGTGATTAGCATTATTGGTCGGACAAATGTATCAACTGACTGATTACATATGCTAGATAGAATGTTCGATTTTTCATGAATTTTTGATTGAAATAATAATGTGAGGAGGGCCCGAAAACTGAGGTTACTCGAAAATTTTCCAAAGGTTTTTAATAATAAAAATTTACCCAAGCTGATAATAATCTTCTATAATGATTTTACCCAAAAATAGGTGCTAAATTTTTTTATTATTTTGAATTTTATAAAACTTATAAATTTTTGCACTATATTAATTAAATTGTTTAAATATTCTCTTCTTTCAAAACATCCAAAGAATTTCCTGACACTGATAGAATCCAAGAAAGTTACAATAATCATACTAGTTAAATTAAATCAATGTCAAAATAATATATTAATTGATTTGATATGTGCATTTTTGTGAAAATAATCTAATAAATGAAATTACAGAAATATAAGATAAAGGGGATCTCGGAAACTTCTAATTGAGGTACCAATCAATGATTTTTATATTAAGTTTATCCAAGGGTTTATATAACAAATTTATCCTGTTAATATTAGTGACATTTTTTTTAACACTACTAAATTTACCCATTTTATATCTTTTTTTATTATATATTTATTACATTAAAAAAGGGGAATTTGGTCTTTGGATATTGTGTGTAACTGTGCACTTTTTTAAAAATTTTACTAATTGATTTACCCAAACATAATAATGACCTCAAAAAAAAAAATTTATATCAATTTTACTCATTCTTAATTGGACATAAAAAATTTTTACTCTTGGACCTTTTAATGTATGCACCCTATCAATAACAGTGAGACTTTTCACTTTTCTATATTAATATGTTTTTTGCCCTTGGTTTTCTGGGGACCTCAATTAGAGGTTCCGGGTCCTGTTTTGATAATGATATCCTGCAAGTGTAAGTTATTCTGCCTAAGATGACTTTCCAAATCATTTAAGGACTGGTGATATTTCCTCCCATTAATTGACTGATGTAGAATCCTTAATGCTATCACTAACCCCATATAATAGTCATTAATCAACATCCTTTCTGCATGATCTGGTGGTGAGCTATAAATATCCCATGCAAAAACCCTTCCACTGAAAATATCTTGTATTTGCATGCTCTGTTTCATTGCTGTCAAAAAACCATGTTGTATTAACGTCATTTCCCTATTCTTAGTGCTTCAGACTTTGATATAATTTCCTGGGTGATTCAAGAGCATCTGCAGGACAAGATTAGGAGGAAGATTATGAAATTGGCTCCAAATCTTGATATTTTCAGTAATCAATTTCTCAAATGCCTCCATTTCCATTTCTCTACCAACAAAATGAAAACAGCTGCATAAGATATGTCATCTGAAAGTTCAAATGAACCAAGTGCAAAGATATATAAATGTTAAATGAATAGCAATGGTCAACCAGCATACCAATGTTCACTCAAATGAGTAAATAAATTAATGAAAATGATTTTTTGTATATTTTTTATGCAATTTGCTCACTGCATTTATCTTCAAATACTAATTCTTTTCCTAGTGTCTTCCCCATTTCAACACTTCATCTACCCACTTATTCTTCTCTTCCTTCTCCAAATGTTATCTTTCACCAATATACTTTTTTACTCTTTCTTCTCCAACCTATTCAATTTCTTCATATTCCTTCTTTGCATCTTCTAACTCTTTCAATTTTTTCATTAGTTGTCATTTTTTAAAAAAAATTTTTATTGATTGTTAGTAAAGCTGCAAACCGTTGACCCAAAAATTTCAGGCATTCTAAATTCGTCAACTACACAAAAATATACATAATAACTTCACAAAAAAAATTATAATAACTTGTAGCTTGGTTTTAGTAAATGTGTGTTGCGAAGTAGAGATGCTGGAAGAATCCTGTTTCTAAATACATACATAGTCTATAATACCAAGGTTTAGGATTTTAAAAACTCCCTAAACTAATTTAAGGAGGTTTCGGATACGGGTTTTCCCTAAACTCGGAGTTTAGGGCCACAACTGTATTCATAATACTACTTATTCTAATTTTAATATTAGTTCGAATTATTCAAATTATTCGCCTTGTTCATTTTATTTGCTTTATTCGAATTACTTGTAACCAGTTAAAGTAGGTTAAAACGTAGATCACTTTTAATTCGCGATTTGTGATAAATGGAAAAAGGGTCTACATGCAAGTTAAAACTCCACTTTAATTGTAAATCTTTATTTCAGTAGGTGAAATGAAGCTACGTTCACATTATCGGCTAAATGGAAGAGAATGGTAAGTAAAGGTGAGATACAACTAAATTCTATTGACTATTATTATTATATTTTATTGAGATAATATAACAGTTGATTAATAATGAGCAGACATAAGAATTATTCATTAAATCATCAGATAGCATTTTTTGTAATATACATATTTATGAGGCATTATTAAAATCACAAATTACATAGTTTTGACAAATAAAAATTTTTTTATCATATATTTAACCGGCTAATTAACCGGTTGGGCTTTTTGTCCGATCCCAACCTTTAACCCTAACGACGTTCTATTTTTTCATCATATATAAAATCCATTGACTTCGCCAACTTTTTAAACACATGTAAACTCTTATTGTTACAGTTTATAAACTACGACGCGCCTTTGAGTAATTAAGTCTGTGCGTCCAGGAAAAACTCGTTCAACTGGACACTAGTTGCTATAATAAGTTTATTAGATTAGAAATCAACAAATTTAATCTTAAATAAGCAGAATGCAAAAATTAGAATACCAGGGACTGTCAAGCCTAAAACTCCGAACGGTTCAGTCAAACCGAAACTGAACCATTCGGAACTTTAATCATTGTGTATTAGTGCTGATTATAATCCATTCGAAAAACAAATTATTATTAAACAAATCTTTCTTCCTCTCATGGATAATAAAGTGACATTACGAAAATTTAATCATCAAATCAGTAAATTATTATCAACAGATGATGAAGCAGTAATCGTTAAATATTGTAATTCAGTCGAAAAAGAATTTTACGAAGCCAGTATATCATATCCAGAATTTTCTATATGGTTGCCTAAATTTTATGGAAGTTTACATTAATAAATCTAGTTGACAATATTAATGATAAAATAACAATAGTGGCGATGGCATGAAAATAACTTATTCTTCGATAATTAGACAAGAAGTAAAAGAGCAAAATTCATTACAGGAGTTGAAAATATCCTTTGGAATATATATATATTAGGAATGTATTAATGCTAATTAACATTATCTATTATCTTTAATTATAATATACGCCATATGTATAGAGTATTTTATATAGCTTTAAAAAAAACCATGTACTCGACTATGGGAGCGAAGCAAAAAAAAAACAAAAATGATTAAAAGAGCTTTAATGACTACATCAGCTTCATTAGGAGTCAAAATTCTTTTATCTTTAGTCAAAGTAAAAGAGAACACCTTTCGAGATATATGAACAAGAGTCGCCCTATTAAAATAAATGGCTTGTTGGCAAATTATGTGTTAAACAGACAAATCTATTTTTATTTTGTTGACATTTATCAACTGAAATGTTTTCGTATTGCCAGAAATACTATTATATAAATATAATATACCATGTTGGATTACTGATTGCATCAGTCAATATGCCCTGGAAATTGATTTAAGCTCTTGGTGAAAGCCATTTCTAGTATTAGCAAATTTGATCATAAGGTCCACTAAACATTAAGCTTGTGTGGATTTATATTTAATTATATATAACAGGCAGTATTTGATAATTAATTATATTAATATGTAATACATTGTATTAAAACCGTTTGTGGGGTTTTAAATGAGTCCATGATTTAGGCACAATTACCTACAAAGAACACTAACACATTTTATTTTTAGTGCAAGCAACGTTCAGTAACAAGGGTGGTAAATAAATAATCGAATATGGCGATAATGTGTATATAACAAAACCAATGACCTCACGATTCACGCATTATGTTTTTGATTCTGCCAATTAATAAAAATCTCGGCAAAAAGATGGCATATTTGCAGATGGAATTGAGAGATAAATTTAGCAGATAAGAATACCATCTACAGATTTCAAACTCTAATGAAAATCCAAGTTTTTATGTAAGTTGTTATTGTAATTCTATTATTTCTGTGATTCAGTTTACAAACAGGATGGCTTTATACGGACAAAAATACCAAAAAATACATCCACTTTGGTTTTTAAATGTCCATATTTTTTATTAATATGTATAATGTTTAATAACCGGATATTTTTTATATTAGTATAATGATGATAAATGCAATACCGAATATGGCCAATAACATTACACCTCGTGACGAAAGTTCTTTTTTGTTCAATTACTCGACAACCTTTTCTATTGATTCTTATTTATTAAATATTTATAAAACAGTTGTTATTTATCAAAAAAATTTAAAATCGACCAGGCCTTCTAAATCCACCTCCACGACCACCTCCACGACCACCCCCACGACCACCCCCACGACCACCACGATTATTATTTCCAAAATTGCCACCACCACCACCACCCCATCCTCTACCACCACCACGACCACCTCTTTGCATACCACCACCTCTTCCACGACCTTAAATCAGAAAACAAATCAATAAATGTTTATAATAAATGAATATTAATGTACAAAAGGTTATCATTACCACGATCACCAACTTTCCTCCTTGGCCCTATTTATTGATTGGTTCAAAAAAACAATTGTATTTACTTGTTATAAAGAAAGATAAAGAAAAAAAGAGTAAAGGAAAGGGTATTATAGTAAACCTGGAGGTTTTGGTGCAGCAGGTTTTGGTAGGAACCTTTCTAATGGAAGTAATTTATCATCGCCAATATAAACTTTATCATTTTCTTTAAATGATGTTGCAATTATACCCTCTTGTAATTTAACCGTGAAATATACATGATTCATAGGCCCCAGTATCTCATCAACTTTACCAATTTGGTTTTTATTTTCTAAATATATTGGTGCATTAAAATAGGGTATTTTCGGATTCACAGATAGACATACCATGTCACCTTCACATGCATGTACAAATGTTCCCATTTCTATTATAAAAAGGATTCATCAATATAAAGAAATCGCAATCAATTTAATAATCCCAATTCAACGTATTCATTAGTTTGCTAAATATTATACATAAACGTAATATTACTCACCAACTATAGTATCTGATTGTTGGTTTGAATAGTTGCCATAACCACCACCTCCACCTATAAAATTGATAATAATTAAAGAATTTTAGAATAAAAAAAAGATTATTTTGTAATAAAACGAATACACATACCTCTTCCTGAACGTGCACCTCCACGTCCACCACTACCAAAATTTCTTGCACCTCGAAATCTACTCATTTTTTTTATATATTAAATATATAGAAAATTTTTTTGATTGATCTACATCACTAATTTATATTGCGATTAATTATAGTAAAAATTTATTGAATAAAAAAGTTGTAAATTGATGGACCAAATATCATAAAAAGAATGAAAAGTATGGAAGTAATTGTTAATATATAATCATTATATGAAATTATATAAAATCTATGTAAAGTTGTGTTTTGTAATTCATAAATTTACATAGTAATAGATTTTACATAAGAAATTGTAATTCTCGCAATAAATTTTATGTAAATCCTATATAAAAAAAAAACTTCCTGATGTTGGAGAACACTGACTTTAACACAGCTTGCTTGGGAGATATGTTGATAATATACATGTCCCAAATAAATCAAGAAAATGCCAGTGAGATAGTAAATTGAGGATCCTTATTGTTGTCAAACAATTCATTTTATATCATGACATCATCAACATTAGTAATTACACTCTTAATTATTCTATTTATTGGACAAAAGGTCATATTATTTGCAATACTTCAAAAACACACTTGAAATTTTCTTTAATCTTTAATCTTTTAATGTTACATATTGATAATAAAAACTCTTTGACTGTATTTAATTGATAAAGCTGGCATGATTGATTCATAATCCTTTCTGATGATTAATTAATGGTTTGGTCAACCTTTAACTATTAATTAAGAACCCTTTGAATCATACTATATTGCTTCTAGTGATGCCTCAAGTAGTATATTTCTGTTTTTTTTAGAGCATATGAATAGTGATCACAATCATCATATGGTGCGCCGTATCTAAAAACATCAAATGCTGTGCCTCTTGTCCATTTTAATATCGATCTTTCCTGATTAAGAAATAATTCATTTTTTTTTAATTTCAGTTACAAATTATGGTTTTACCTAATGGACAACCTAAAGGTATGAAAATTGTACTTGAGGTTTCAATTAATAAATTCGGGGTGACTGAAACTTTTGGGGAGGGTAATGTATATTGAAAAGTACACTACTTTGACTTGTTAATGTCGGTGACAATAATTATGCTTATCAACAAAACATGATTCATAATTATCTTGTTCATCAAAACCCTGAAGAAATTTATCATAATAATAATTACGTTCGCCAAAATATGGTTCATAATACAATTTATCAAAACCCAAAAGACATTTATCAAAATGTCGGTGATAATAATTACGCTCATCATCAAAACATGCTTCATAATTATCTAATTCATCAAAATCCTGGAGAAATTTATCAAAGCATAGGTAATAATAATTACATTCACCAAAACATGGTTCATCAAAATCCTAAGCATGAGGACGTTTATCAAAATGCTGGCGATGAGAATTACATACGTCAAAATATGATTTATAATCACCAAAACAATTTCGTCGCTGAACAGAACTCAAGTAATAATATTACGAGCATTAATCATCAAAATTTTGTTGACAGCTATTTCGTTGGTCAAAATAATTTCACTAATCATCAAAACTCTACCATCATCAGCAATTTGACTAAAGATCAAACTTTCCTACCCAAAATGTCGTAAATAAAATTGCTGGATAACAATAATAACTGATGTGTTGATATCAATGTTAATAAGCAAATCGATTTTAAATAACAACATTTATGAAATCAATCATTCCTACTAATTTTATTTATTTTTTAAACAGTTAATAAGTGTAACACCTGTAATTTATTTTATATTTTTATATTTTATATTTTTTGGTATTTGTAAAACCACTCGGATTAAACAACCATTATTATTATCATGTTCGGTCAACAATAAAATTTTGATTTTAGAAAAAATTTAAAATTGGCCATATTAAAAATTATTCTTATCGTATTAGACGTATTTTGATAATTTAAGAAAAACGCAATAATCTTTTTATTCTATTAAATTTATGCAAAATAAATAATATTATTTTGCTCCACGATAGTCTTTTTATGACTGCATACTTCCTAAATATCACTACTACTATTAATTGCCATTAGAAATATAAACTTGAATGCTTTGATGATTATACTATACTTCAATTTAACAAATTACCACCATCGCCCCAATTCTTGATTCAATAACTAATTATTTTGCTTTTTATAATCATTGTAGAGCCCTGACATTTTTTGTATGGGAATTAGTGTTGGTCTCTAAAACTATTTTGAAGAGGTAAAAGTAAAAACCAAAATTAAAAGTTATATGTCAGAACTAACTCAAAAGTCAAAACTAGTTTCGACTTATGGTGAAACATTTTGACCTTCGCACAGTTGAGAAACTCTAGTTTTTAATATTAATATTAATACAAATTATTTATTTGAATTATTCTTTTAGTTTTATTTAAATCATTCATTTTATTAGTTTTATTCGTTTTATGCGTTTTTATTAGTTTTATTAGTTTTATTCGTTTTTATTCGTTTTATTAGTTTTATTGGTTTTGTTCGTTTTGTTCGTTTTATTCAAACCATTCAAATTGTTCGTTTTATTCGAACCATTCAAATTATTCGTTTTATTCGAACCATTCAAATTATTTCGTTTATTCGTTTTATTCGAACCATTCGAATTGTTCGCTTTGATCGATTATTTGTTTGTTTATTTTGTTCGAATTATTCATTTATTCGTTTTATCCGTTTATTTTTTTTATTTAAATTATTATTATTGAATTATTATTTTATTCGTTTATTCCTCTTATTCGAATTGTTTATTCATTTATTCATTTATTCAAATTATTTTATTCGAATAAACTTTCAATGTAGTTCTAATACTCAATCAAATTCATAACGAGTAAAACAAGATAATCCGAATCAGTGACAGATAAAGGTGTGCCAGATTTGGTGACTCGTAATAAATAACTCAGATCGCATGCTCACAATATTTATAGTACAGCATTATGGTTTTACGGACAGTTTATGACTTTAACAACTTTAGGGTTGTCTGTCATACCGAATTTATTTACGTAATGTAATTCAGTTACATAAATTAAAATCTAAATGTATTTTTCTAAAAGAACTTTACATTTGTGTCACACAAAATAATTTTTTTTTGACAAATTATAACAATATAGTAAAACTACAAATAATTTTAAAAATGGAAAAAACTTTGGACGAAAATAAACATCATGATGATACTTCTACTGACAAAAATCATGAATATTCTGATCAAAGAACAGAAATGTATGGGGAATGTCCAACCTGCAATAGATATAATACTTTTTATTTATGGTGTCGATCATGCGATCCTAAATTGTTAACTGAAGGATGGACTAGTGGCAATGATAGATTAGATGAATTGATTAAAAGCACACAACTTAAAGCAACAATATATGATAATCATTTTTATCTTCAATGGATTCCTTATAATGATTTAACAAGTATTGAAAAGATAGGTGAAGGTGGGTTTGCAACTATATCCAAAGCTACTTGGTTAAATGGTTATAAAACTACTTATGGAAATAAAAGAGCTAGCAAGGATAGGACTGTGGCATTAAAAAAACTACATAATTCACAAAATATTTCTGATGAATTTCTTAATGAGGTAAATTATTTTCTATTTATTTTCAGATTTTTTAAATATTTTGATTATTATTGTTGTAATTAAATATTTTGTTTGTTGTTTTAGTTCAAAAATTATACAAAGTTTCATGATAAAATAGATATAATTCATATTTATGGATTAACACAAGATCCAATTACAAAAGAATATATTTTTGTAATGGCATATATGGATGATGGGAGTCTTCAAAATTATTTAACTAAAAATTTTAAATATTTAAGATGGATAAACAAAATTAGAACTCTTTATCAAATTATTGATGGTTTACTATATATTCATGAAGAAGAAATTATTCATCATGATCTTCATAGTGGTAATATTCTTCAATCTAAAAAAAATAGGTGGTCACATATAGCAGACTTAGGATTATCATGCCCAGCTAGTCAAACATCATCATCAAACAAAAATGATATATGTGGAGTACTACCATATATTGCACCAGAAGTTTTAAAGGAGAAACCATATACAATGGCATCAGATGTATACAGTTTTGGAGTTCTGATGTCTGTAGTA